AGTCATCTATACATTTTCTTGTAATATTTATGTATAATTACCAAAGTAAAAATTAGTTTTCAAGCTAAAGTACACCGAAAAAAATTCTACAACCTTTTTGTCATCAAATTCAAGCTGATGTGTTGCTATAATGTACATCTAGCACCTAAACAGTGTACATAGCATAAGCAAATAAAAGTAAAATCTAATTAGACCTGCATCAATGAGAAAAGGCCACACTGGAGATGACCACTTTAATCTTAAATAAAAGATAAATCGGAAAAGCAACTGCCTATAGGTGGCTATTTTTAGATAACCATATGTTCTTACCCATGGGACAGGAGGATTTGTCTAAACAGCTATCTCTGTTCACCACAAACAACTTTGCTTCATTTCTATTTTAAGCCAGCAAACCTGATTTGCATGCTTGTTTTCTAACCCACTCACCTACCTTTCCAGTCATGAACTATTTACAGAGGAGGTTCGCTTGAACACTGAAAATCATTGGTTCTTTTTAGGTTCTTGCATAGCTTACTGGAACAAGAAATTTATTTCAGTAACCTGACATGCACTCTTGGAAACCATTCCCTCTGTTCTGATGCTCACAGTACTCACTGTCAAAGAACAGCCAAGCAGCAGCCCTCCTGCAGCTAATCAATCAGTGTCAGTCAGCAGAAAGGCTAACTTTTTTTCTGGAAGGCATGGGAGTATTTTATGCACTTAGGAGACTAAGACAGGAAGATAATGCATTTGAGGCCAGCCTGGGCAACTTAATGAGACTCTGCCTCAAAAAGAAACAAAAAATAAAAGGAAAGACTAGAGAGATGACTCAATGGGTTAAGAATGCATATTGCTCCTGCAGAGGACCCAAGTCCAGGCATCTACAACCATCAACAATTCCAGCCTAGGGTCCATCACCCTCTCTGAACTTCAGTCACACACACACACACACTCTCTCTCTCTCTCTCTCTCTCTCTCTCTCTCTCTCTCTCTCTCTCTCTCTCTCTCTCTCTCTCACTCTCTCTCTCTCTCTCACTCACTCACTCGCGCATGCACACACACACACACACACAAATAAAACAAATACTTAAAAAGGAAAGCCACATTTGAGGGTTACAGGATATTAGGTAGGTGTAGATACTTAGATAAGGGTGTTTGCACTTCTAAGAACTGGGATTACTGTGAGTGATCTCCGATTTTTGTGATCAAATGCCTGTAGACACCTGTAGCACTTGAAAGGCAGAGGAGGCAGAAGGCAAGAGGATATCAAGTTCAAGGCCAGCATGAGATACATAGTAAGATCTTGTTTCAAAAAGCCAAAGACAAGAGTCAGCAAGATGGCTCAGCAGGTAAAGGTTCTAGCTAACAAGCCAGATGATCTGAGTTCTATCCTAGTAATCGACATGGTAGGAGAGAACCAATTCCTGAAAGATGGCCTCTGACCTCCAAAATCATGGCCCAGTCTTCCTGTGACCACCACCTAGCACCACCACTAGCAAATAAATACATAAACTAGTCAGGTGTTGGTGGCTCACTCCTTTAATCCCAGCACTCGGGAGGCAGAGGCAGGTGGATCTCTATGAGTTCAAGGCCAGCCTGGTCTACAGAGTGAGTTCCAGCAGCCTCCAAAACAATACAGAGAAACCCTGTCTCAAAAAACCAAAAAAGAATATATATATATATATATGCATGCTATGTAACACACATCAAAAGATCTCTCCTTTTTATCTCAAACTCTACAGCCTCCTGTCAACAGCTCTACAGTGACACCATGCTTTCCATAACAGTGTAGAATAGTCAAAGTAACCAACTGGAGACTGGGGGGCAGTTCAGTCAATAAAGTGCTTTGCTTGGAAAATCTCAGTTTGATTCCCCAGAACTTATGTAAAAACTCTGAGTATGACTGGCAATCCCAGCACTAGGGAAGCTTTCTAGGGCTCACAGGCCAAGCCAGTCTAGTCTGATAAATGGCAGGCCGGGGAGAGATCTTGCTCAAAGAAGGTTGATGGTATTTCTTTCTTTTTTTTAAGATTTATTTATTTATTTATTCATTACATATACAGTACTCTGTTTGCATGTTTGCCAGCACACCAGGAGAAGGCATCAGATATTATTATAGATGGTTATGAGCCACCATATGGTTGCTGGGAATTGAACTCAGACCCCTGGAAGAGCTGTCAATGCTCTTAACTTCTGAGTCATCTCTGCAGCCCCGGTTGATTGTATTTCTTTCTCAGGATACCTGAAATTGTGCTCTGGCCTCCACATGCATGTGAACCACATATAACATACAGCCCATAAACACATACAATAACACAATAAAAATAATAATAACCTTATGCGGGACAATGGTGGTACACACCTTTAAACCCAGCATTTGAGAGGCAGAGGCAGGTGGATCTCAGAGTTCCAGGTCAGCATGGTCCACAGAGCAAGTTCCAAGACAGCCAGGGCTAGAAAAAGAAACTCTGTGACCCCCCAAAAAATGCCCACACAAACAAACAAAACCAACAACAACAACAAACCAAGCCTAGTGGTGTACACGTTTAATCCCAGCAGAGGCAGGCATGTGCTCAAGCAAGGCCACACTGGTCTACAGATTGAGTTCCAAGACAGCTAGAGCTGTTACATAGAGAAACCCTGTTTCAAACAACAACAACAACAAAAATTAATAACAATAATAACAATGTTATTATAATAGCCATGCTTGTATGGCTACATCCACCTTTATTATGCCAACCTACCCCACTTCACTTTTAAAATTTTAAACAAAGCCTCGCTATTCATAAAGAAATACAAATTAAGTCTCATCTTTTTAACTACTGATCATAATCAAAGCTTAAAGGATTATCAATTTATAGGGTGTGGGAGCAAACCTTCCACACCAGATATGGTCTATTTATCATCCACCTTTCACAGGCATTAGTCACAGGCAGCTCCATGGTTCCAACACTCTGTCATATTGTGGGGAGGCTATTAAGTGCTATATTCTGTGAGCACACCCCAAGCTGCATTTAAGCTTCTAAATATAACCAAAAAATGTGTTCAACATAGTAAGGATTCATCAATACTTGTTTTTGAACAGACAGATTTCCAAAAGTCTATGTATACTATAAAAAAGGGCATTTTACCATTTTTCTCCATTTAAGTTTAAATCTTTGCAAAATGAAGGAGAAACGACAATATATTATTGTCTTTATTTCACATGCCAGTTTACCTAGAAAAGGCTTCCTGCAGAGTTCACCAACATTTACGATTAACACTCACCTCTGTGTTGGGGCCTCAAATATGCCGAGCGAGCTCCACCAATGAACTACTCCCCTAGCCGAAGATGAACTTAATGAATAACTGCTAGTATTTACTAAGTGCCAACAATGGGAACTGCGCTAAGCACGCCACATACACTATTCTTTAAATTCTGAGGTCACTGCTAGCTCCTATTTTAAACTACAGCAAGGAACAACAAATAACAAAAGTCATGCAGGTTGTGAGCAGAGTACCATTCTCTTCCCTATACTATTATCCAAAAACTAAGATTCTTATAGTTACACTTACACATTCCCTAGGGACCCAGCCATGTGCTAGACACCTCATTCAGTTTTAAGGATACACAATTGCCGGGCGGTGGTGGCGCACGCCTTTAATCCCAGCACTCGGGAGGCAGAGGCAGGCGGATCTCTGTGAGTTCAAGGCCGGGCTGGACCGATAGCCTCCAAAACAATACAGAGAAACCCTGTCTCGTAAAAACCAAAAAAAAAAAAAAAAAAAAAAAAAAAGGATACACAATTATTGCCCTTGAAAAAAACAGTTCAGTGTGAGTATTTGGGGAAGGAGGGTGGACCCAGGGTTCCATGCATACGAGGCAAGCGCTCTACCACTGAACTCCAGAGTGCTACATCCTGTGTGAAAACACTCCCAGTGTTCGTAAAACTGGGGCTAGAAAGAAAGCTAGGTGGCTAAGAGCACTTTTTGCTGTTGATGAGGACTTAGGTTCAGTTCCCAGCACCCACAGAGTGGCTCACAATGATCTGTGACTCCAGTTCCAAGGGATCCAACACCCTCTTCTGGACACACATGATGCACATACATACATGCAGACAATGCTCATACACTTAAAATAAAAGGAAATCTTTTTTTAAAAGTTTGTAAAGCAGTAAGATTATTAGTGGAAGTTCATAGGAAAAAATTGCTGCTGCTGCTGCTGGTGGTGGCGGTAAAAACAGCATCTAATACATATATACAACTTACTGCGTGCCTCCTACTGCACTTTGGAGAGTCTATTAATCTTCCCAGTTACCCTGTAAGTTCTTCATTATCGTTCTCTAGACAATCAAACTGCCCAACTGGTTTGCTCATGGCCATGCAGCCACCTCCTGAAAGGAAGAATCTGAATCCAGGTAAATCTGACTTTGAAGCTATGATCTAAAACCGTATTTTTTTTTTTTGTTTTTTTTAAGACAGGGTTTCTCTGTATTGCATTGGAGCCTATCCTAGAGCTCTCTCTGTAGACCAGGCTGGCCTCAAACTCACAGAGATCCACCAACCTCTGCCTCCTGAGTGCTGGGATTAAAGGCGAGTGCCACCAACGCCTGGTCTAAAACCGTATTTTTGTTTTGTTTTTTGAGACAGAGTTTCCCTGTGTAGCCTTGGCTGTCCTGGAACTAGCTCTGTAGACCAGACTGGTCTCAAACTCAGAGAGATTTTCCTCCCTCTGCCTCCAGAGTGCTGGGATTAAAGGTGTGTATCACCACTGCCAAGCCATTCTTCTTTACAGCCATCTAGCAGAGGAAAACATTATCAGAAGTCTTCTCAGTTCAATTTTGAAAAATAAATGGATGAGATAGGTTGTAGGACAAATTCTCCACAGAAGTAATGCCCAGCCACAGATGTAAAACACCCAGGGACCTACAAGCAGCAGTTGGTAGGTTGGAGATGTGAGATGTTGAAGAGGAAGTGGATAGAGAGGTTAGTGAGGTTTTGCATGCAGGAAGGTACTGTTCACCAACTCAGAACCTACCCTCCAGGCAGAAGGTACTCATGAAAGAGTCCAAGCCTGAGAAAAGTCCTTTACATCGGTCACAGGTCCTGGGGACAGCATGGAGAATAAACAGCTGGAGCAAAGGGCCACTCAATGGATAAGAAGATGTGAGAGGGATAAAGTATGTTACTCAGAAACCAGAAGTCCAGCTCATCTCATCTGGTGGGGCAGGCTCTGCAGTAAACAGGAGAGCTCCTCATTTGAGCCAGTTACTAACAGGGTAAGTGGTGTGGTAGCAGGACAGGAAGAAGCTTAGAAAGCCTTTCTTCTCTATTCACAGTGTTGGTGCCTATCCCTCAATCTTTCCCCTCACTTCAGCCTCTCTAGTAAAATAAAAAAATTACTGCTGCACATCATTTATTTATGTGATAGCTTAATAGTTTTATTATTGTAGATAAGGTTGATAAGCCTTTTTTAATACATCAAAAATAATTTTGCTATCCTCTTTTTTAAAATTTTACTTCATGCGTATGATTGTTGTGCCCGTGTGCATGTAAATGTACCACATGCGTGCCTGATGCCCACAGAGATCAGAAGCAGATGCCCTGAAACCGGAGTTACAGATGGTTGTGAGGTGTGATCCTTCCCATGCCATGTCCTCCTGTCTCCCACCGACCCACACGCCCCCCATGTGGGTGCTGAGAACCAAGCCTGGATCCTTGTAAGAGCAACAAGTGCTCTCGACTGCCGAGCCACCTCTCTGGCTTAAGAGAATCAGTCAGCTGCCCGGCACCTGATCTTCACTTCACTTCTATCTCCGACACTTCTGATTTACCTGCCTTTTCTTTCCTCTTTGGTTAAGTGCAGATGTTTCTCCATGCATTAAAACCTGATTGTACCATGAGGGCCCTAATGAGACTGTGAGACATGCTTTCATTTTCACTAGTCATTTGGTAGTTAAGTAGTTCCAAATAAGACAGTCCAAAATGACTACAAACTACACAACTAGCTGAATAATTCTCTTACAGATACACAACTTAAAAACTAATTTTTTGCCGGGCGGTGGTGGTGCACACCTTTAATCCCAGCACTGGGGAGGCAGAGGCAGGCGGATCTCTGTGAGTTCGAGGCCAGGCTGGACTGACAGCCTCCAAAACAATACAGAGAAACCCTGTCTCGTAAAACCAAAAAAAAAAAAAAAAAAAAAAAAAAAACCTAATTTTTTTCCCCAAAAATGTTACCCTAATGGAAAAGTACTCTATTTCTACTTAATATGGCCCAAGAAAGGGATTTAAGTATTTGTTACTCTGAGTCCTTAGTATTTCCCTCTTAACTCATCTGGCAACTTAGAGGCTTTCTAGTAAAATGTGACTGTAAGGTACTAGCCTGGGCATGTAGCTCAGTGCCACAGCACTTGTCCAGCATGTACAGAACTCAAGGCTCCATCTCCAGAACTGAAAACAAATGTGTGACAATATTGCCTTGTAGAAAGTTGTACCATCAAATGTCTAATACAAAACTTTGGTCACAACCAATAACATAAGCTAAGGAGAGGAGGAGCTTATCCCCTCTCAAGAAAGAATTAAGTGTTTAGGATGTCTTTTCATAGTCTTGAGTTCTATTCAGATGTCTGAATCTCAATAGCAACAACTTCAAGTGTCTTAAAGTTCGCAGTTATTGATTACAACTGCAAATCAAGCACAAAACAAACCCTGCTGGCAAAGCACAAGTACATACCATAAGTCTTACTTACAATGAAAATTCATATATGCAGTTTTTGTCAGGGCTGGTATTGTGCTACCCCCACTAAAAACTTAAGGTACCAATATAGGAGCAAAAAGACTTTCAAACCACGCTCATGTCAGCTACATCCTTCAGCTACAAGCATTTCCGTAAAACTACAATGTTTATGTTAAAATATGAAAGGTTTGTCTAAGGAACACTTTAATATGTGTGTCTTGTTTTCTTTTTTTTTTCTATTTATTTATTCATTTATTGGTTTTTTGAGACAGTAGCTTTAAAGCCTGTCCTGGAACTCGATCTGTAGACCAGGTGGGCCTCACAGAGATTCCCCTGCCTCTGCCTCCCAAGCACTGAGAATAAAGGCATTTGTCACCACTGCCAGGCTTTGTTTTCTTTTTAACTCAAAATTCCCAGGAGATGGAAATGCAGGAGAGTATTAAAAGCAGCTGTTTCAGGCATGAAGTTTTTGTTTTCTTCTCTTTCTGCCTTCCAAGTTTCATGATTAGCAGTGTTCAGGCTACATTTAAAAAACAAAAATCCCTCATGACATAAAAAAAGAAGATACCAAGAGGGGAAAAAAAAACCAAACACCTCCAAACAAAAAAAGAAAGTTAAGTTAGGCAGTGATGGCACACACCTTTAATCCCAGCACTCAGGAGGAAAGGATCGAGGAATTTGAGGCCAGCCTGGTCTACAAAGCTACACAGAGAAACCCTGTCTTGAAAAAACAAAACAAAAAACAAAACAAAAACAAAAACAAAACCCGAAAACTTGAAAATTGGGGAGAGGGTTCAAATGGAAATAATTTCATAACTTGGTTATTTGAATTCTTAGTTCTCTGCCCCAGATACTAGCAGCAAGACCCTAGTTCAGAACCTCTGCTTTAGAGGCTCATACAAGGATGACTTTCAAAGTGGAGAAACAAGTGAACACAGTTAGGGTACACTGTAGATAGCACTTAATAACACTTAATGAGTTAGTAAAATCCTAAGAGGTTTTAAACATAAAAGAGCTGCAGAAGAAAGCAGCCACCAGACAAATGCTGGACCAACGCTCGCCTCTTCATGATTATGGACAGGATTCCACTTGTTTCCTCTTGTTTAATCCTGTTACAATTTCATCTGCTTCCTAACCTTGGAAGTTTTCAACTGCTAATGAGTTCTCTACTAAGCACTCAGGTAGCTAGAGATCTAATATGAAGCTGGGAACAATGACATACACCTATAATCATCACAGCACTTAGGAGGGTGAGGCAGGAAGGCTTCAACAATTTGAAAGCCTTCCAGGGCTATACAGCAAGATCATGGGGCATGGGGACTGATTAATGAAACTGCTTTCTTGTTTCTTAGTATTATCTTACATTTTCACAATCATTTTGTCATTTATATGATGTAGGCTACACAAGAAAATTACTACAAATGAGGTTATTAACAGAAACAAGTGTCAAGAAAAAGCTTGTGTGACATCAAACATATTTGATTGGAGCCCTGGAAGGCAGAGGCCAGCCTGGTCCACACAGTGAGCTCCAGCCTTGGCTATACAGTGAGACCCTATCTCAATAAACAGAAAAATAAATAAAGTCATGATGACAGGCTGGGCAGGACTCTTCTGCTAAAGACTAAGGCTCATAACCAAAGGATAAAAATATTAAAATGAAACTCATTATTTCTGATACTAACCAAAAAAAAAAAAAAAAGCACTAGTACACACACACAAAAGACAACTCCCCAGACAAGGCCCAGCAGCAATAGGAAAGCAGGTTTTCTACCTCCTTCAGTCTCAGAAAGCTGCATTCAAAGGACACTTAAAATACAATCACGCCCACCCACCCACTCTTCTTCAAGATTTGCTCTCACAAAAGTAGACTTTCAAGTTAACAGGAAATAACACAACCAAAAATAATGGGTGTGGCATCACCTCCGATACAGCTTTGGAGCTGTGAATAAATGAAGACTGTTCAGGCAAAAGAGCATCAAATCAGGACCCGGAGCCCAATACAATAGGCTGTTCCTGCTCACACAGTGATGCCGGCCTTGCTGTTCTCTCCTTCCTAACAAAAGCAGGGTTTCAAATTGCCTAGACTTGCCTTGATCTCACTTTGTAGCTCAGAAAGGCCTTGAACTCCTGACCCTTTTGCCTCCACCTCCTGGTGCTGGGATTACTGGCATGTACCACCACACCTGGCCTCACCCCCAATTTTGTTAAAAGCAACTTCAACTATTTCAAACTCTAGAAGACCCAAGAAAAAAGCTACCCAGAAGCCAACACTGCTGAAGTCAAGTGTTTATGCTAAAGCTATTTCATTTATTTATTTTTGGTTTTTCTGAGACAGGGTTTCTCTGTGTAGCCCTCCCTAGCTGTCATGGAATTCACTCTGTAGGCCAGGCTGACCTCAAAACAATACAGATCTGCCTGCCCCTCCCTCCTGAGGGCTGGGATTAAAATTCTGCACCACCACAGATCCAGGACACCCAGTACTACATAGAGAGACCCTGTCTCAAAACAAAAAACAAAAAACCACAAGGTTTAAACTAAGTATGTAGTTTATACTTGTATTCCCATCATTTAAGACTGCTGTAGGAGAGTAACCATGAGTTTGGCTGGTTGCACAATAGAATGAAACTTGGCTTAATCCCTCATACAGAGAGACACGGCTCTTGAAAGTTTATAGCATGTGCTAATTTCTGCTAAAGAACAAGATTGTATCATATCCCACAGACTATAAAAATGGTATTCACGTAGCTGTAAACATACTAGCAATAAACAGCACTTCTGTTTAAGTGTAAAAAGTGGTGGTTTTAAAATGTCCTTTATAAACTATGGTGGAAATAACTGGTACAAAAAGAGAATAGACTGTGAGATTCTTGAAGGTCTAAGAGTGCCACTAAGCCTTGATCAGATGTCATTTATTCTGACTTGACACAGGATTCAGGTTTAACTGGTTTCTTTGCCTGTTTCAGCTAAGAAATAGGCCTATTTTGACAGGAGAGTACTAGGAAGAAAAGGCCGGATGAAACACTATAATGGTACAGTGTTGAGAACTCATCTTAACGTAAGAGGAAACTGCCAACACCCTTACACAGTCGACTGCACTGTACAGTTCAGTTCATAAGTTAAAGTACATAACGATGACCTTGCTCCATCAGAAAGGTTGTGTGAAGTGTTTTTTTGTATTTCTATGTATTAAAAGAGGCATATACCCCCTTATGGGTTAGATGCTATGAAGACTTACACTAAAATGGTCAGGACACTTTAGCTGTTAAAGGACTGTCAACCATTTTATGAGCAATTGACTTAAGTCCCCAATGATATCAAATCCTAAGGACAGAAGTCTCAAAAGTACCATATGTATTGTTCAGCAAGGCAGATAACCAACTTTTATGATATTAATACTGTCCTCTCTGTGAGCACTCAATAGGCTCCCCCCTTAAAAAATTTATCGTTACTAATCTGTTTTCTTCTCCTAATATCAAAATGAAATGGGGGAAGAAGGTATTTTAATATTTTTCTCCCTCTGTGATGAAAACCACCTTCCCAGAAACAGCTGGTCTAAGTGTATTACCTTCTTAGAAAACAGTGCTTTCAAACCAACTATTACTACGGAGAGACAGAGGAGGTCTTCTAGTCTGACAAAGAGGCTCATGAATCAGTGGTTATGTTTGACAGGTCCTATTGGCTAAAGGGCAGAAAATACACCATAAACCCCTGAAAGATTGAGACCACTTTTACATTTTCTTCTTATAATAACAATGGAAGTAAGATATAATGGTAGACATCTCAATCAGTTTATTATTCACCAAGTCCCTACAGCCAAAGTGAAAACAGGAGACCCACATGTCAAGAAATCTGTAAGCCCCTTTAGGCATCATTAAAAAAGATTTGTGTTACTAGCACTTGTTTCTTTTAGGAAAAGCAGTGACTTGTGATATCTAAAGAAAATGGGCCAAACGTGCACGGTATACCCGCCACACCCCTGAAAAAAAATTTTAAGGGTCAGACAAGGGACTGAGCTGAGCCTAAGAAAAGGCATGACTGGGGTAAGTCAAGGGAACTCCCTGCTCACACAACCCCAGACGGCATCCCTAGATAGGAGACGAGGAAAGGGGAATCAGGAGAGAGCGCCTGGATGCTGTGGGAGTGGATGGCGGGCGCGGTCGCTCTACCCACCTCCCGCTAGGTACCCGTCCAGCAGTCACCGAGGACGCCGGCGGACGGCCGCCCGGTCCTCCCCGCGCCCTGCAGCGCCTCCCGCCGCTGCCTCCATCCCCGCTCCTCGAGTCCCCGAGCCGTCGCCCGGCGAGGGCCGTTCCCCGCGGCGCGCTCGGCACCTTTGATGACGCGATCGGTCGTGGAGAGCTGAGGGTGACTCCCGGACATGGTCTCCTCCCGGCTCCGGCGGCCCGCACGACGCGAGCCGCCGCCTTCCTCCCCAGCGGGCTGCGCTCGGCGGGCCGGCAGCCACCGTGCCGGGCCCCGGAAGACGGGGCGTCCTCGGACGGCGGCGGCCGCAGCGCCGCTCCCTCCCTGCGGCGGCGCCCGCGGCTCGGCGGGGACGACCGCGTCGAGAGCGACGGCGACCGCGGCTGAGGGACACAACTCGGGAGACCGCCGCTGCGCGCGACCGGAGCCCCGCGTGCGCGCCTCCGCGCTCACAACTTCCCGGCGGCCCCGCGTGCCGCCGCCGCGGCGCTCTGCGCACGCGCGTCCCTCGCTTTCCGCTCTGGATCCTTGCTGCCCGCTGTCAGCCTGACGTTGGGCGGAATGCTCTTTGCTGGTCACCCCTACCCCGACCTGTAGCCTCTCAAACCGGCCCCTGGGGCTACGGAGGCAACTGCGATCTTGAGACCAGGCCGGCGTCTCCCCTCGTCAGAGAGAGCCCTTGTCTTCTCATGAACGCTTCCTTCCTTACTAGTTTGTCCCCAAAGAAATTATCCATTCTACCAGTTGCTCAGATTGCCCTCTCCCATTAACCAACTCCCCAAACCTTGAAACCCACTACATCGACTTTATATTTGGTGCATAGAACTTGTACCTGGTAGCCTAAAGACCTTCGCGAACTTCCTAGTTCCAGTCCAGCATTTGGGAGGGTGGGAGGAACTCTGTTTCCACTTCCAAGAGAAAGCTGTTACTGGCTTCTAGGTCCCTTGCCCAGACCTCCTTGATGAAGGAATTGACTATCTAGACGTATTTATTCCATCGTGCTACAATGACACCGCATCTGCCTCCCATCGTGTGCGTGTGCATGTGCTTGTGTGTGACTGCACGGGGTGTTTGCATTTGTGTGTGCTAGTGGGCTCGCCCATAGCAAGTGCAAGTGGAGGCTAGAGGTCGAAGTTGGGTGGTCTACAGTGGCCAGTGAGTAATAACATGTGACTGTGCAAATTTAAGTAGTTCAGTTTCCTCTGTGTGCTTGGTACACTTCAGGTGCTGGCTACTTTTTGGCTGTTGTAGGACATTTCTATCATCGCACAAAGCTGTTTTGTTTTGTTTGGGGGATTTCGTTTGTTTTGTTTTCTGAAATAGGTCTCAAGTCACTCAGATTGGCCTGGAAGGTGATGTGTAGCCAAGAATGATCCTGAACTACTGATCCTCCTGCCTCTGCCTCCTCTGCCTCCAGGGCTGGGATTATTGATATTTCCCACCCTGCCCGGCCATTGCAGAAAGTTCTATGGATAGCTTCTTTCCAATCCATTATAGGGTAAAGATGAGATCTCCCCTAGTATATAGATTTATACGCAGAAAGGAGGTCTGGAGATCTAGACTAGAATCAGACCCTACATTGCCTCTTGAAGTTTCCACCTAACATCTTTCACAGTAAGGCACACTTGAGGCAAGATTACTTGAGGGAATAATTAGAATATGGCTTTATTTTCACAGAACCTGGTTTCAGGTTTCCATAGTGAGAACAGTTGACATATTTTAAGAAAGTTCTCCATTAAAGAAACAAACAGGGTGCCATACCTCTGTCAGGCAGACTCTAGAGCACAGTGGATGCTAACATTCACAGGATTGCTGAAAACAAAAAGGTTTGGGAAACTACAAACCAAAGGAGAACAATAGATTATTCAGTAATAGCTATGGAAAAATTAATCAACTACTTAGATCTTTTGTTGTTACTTTTGAGACAGGGTTTCTCTGTGTAGTTCTGGGTGTCCTAGAACTCACTTTGTAGACCAGGCTAGCCTTGAACTCACAGAGATCCACCTGCCTCTGCCTCCCATGTGCTAGGATCAAGTCACCACACTGACTTACCTACTTGGATCTTAAATTAGAGACACTCCCCCCATTGCATCAAAATCAAGCATCCAGAAGGTGGAGGTGGGAAGATAGGATACTTATTGTGCAGTGCTTCCCCAGTAGACACTCAAGGTGGAGACTACATCCTGTGTTTAGGTTGTTCTTCTGACAGGAGCAAGATGGCACAGAGAACAGGCAAAGAGCGGAGCAACCTGAACTGGCTCTCTAGAATTCCCGGGAAAATGCAAGGAGAGAACCAACCCTACGGAGTTGTCCTCTGACCTTCACACGCATGCTCAGACACACACCCTACACACTAATCAATAATAAATAGATGCCCATGTAAAGGTGGAAGGAACGAACTGATTTTTTTAAAGCTGGCCTCTGACCTTCACATGCACTCACTGTCACCTGCACCATCCCCACACACACAGCAGGCACACACGTAAAACCCTATGACAATCAAAGAGCTTATCACACAGAAAGACCGAGTATTGGTCTAAGAAAACCTGTTTTCTTTTTTTTTTCTATTTTTAAAATAATTTTTGTTTTGATGCAGGGTTTCAGCTATTCTATTTTATTAATATTTTGGATTGCACTTATTTATTGTGCTTATGCATTTGTACATTCAAGTTTCAATGCACCCCTATGGAAGTCAGAGGATAACTTGCAGGAGCTGATTCTCCCTTTCCTTAGTGTTGACCCTGGGAGCTAAACTCAGGTCATCAGGCTTGTTAGCATGCGACTTATCCACTGAGCATCCCAAAGTCCTGACCTTAAATCTCTTGAGGGCTCTGTCTCTACCTCCTGAGTGCTGGGTGTGTCATCTCCCCAGCCTCCTTGTGCCACCGCCAAGTTTATATGGTTGTAGGACAGAGCCCAGAGCTTTATGTGTGCCAATTAAGCACTCCACCAAGCTACTTCCCCAGCCCTCAAGAAAACATGTGTGTCTGCTTTAAATATTGAGGTATAATTTGAACATAATACAAATTCACCCTTGTCTTAATAAGGGAGGGTATAATTACATGAAGAACATGAAATAAAAAAGAATCTATATAAAATTAAGAAATTATCTGGCAGCTGAGTGGTGGTGGCGAAAGCCTTTAATCCCAGCACTCAGGAGGCAGAGGCAGGCGGATCTCTGCAAGTTTGGGACCAGCCTGGTCTACAGAGCGAGTTCCAGGTCAGCCTTCAAAGCCACGGAGAAACCTTGTCTTGAAAAACCAAAAAACAAAACAAAACTAACAAAAATGACCCGGCATGAAAAATCTAGCACTAATGAGTGCCAGTATTTGCCGACACCTCTTTCTCCATGTGTTTTTTTGTTTGTTTGTTTTTTTGGTTTTTTACGAGACAGGGTTTCTTTGTATTGTTTCAGAGGCTATCGGTCCAGCCTGGCCTTGAACGCACAAAGATCTGCCTGCCTCTGCCTCCCGAGTGCTGGGATTAAAGGCATGCGCCACCACCGCCCGGCGTTCTTTCTCCATGTGTACATTTATCAACTCAAAATAAATTTATCAGGCCGTAATGCTGTACACCTTTAATCCTGGCACTTGGGAGGCAGAGGCAAGTGGACCTCTGTTAGTTCGAGGCCAGCCTGGTCCACAGAATGAGTTCCAGAACTGCCAGGGCTACACAAAGCAAAACCCTGTCTGGAAAAAAACAAAAACAGAAACAAAATAAACTCAGTCCAGTCAGATGTGGTGGTGCACACCTGTAGTCTTAGTTCTCAGGCAGACCGCCAGGAGTTCAAGGTCATCCTGACTACTTAGGAAAGTTGAAGCAAGCCTTGGCTATGTGAGATCCAGTCTCATATAGCAAAACAAAACAAGTCAGTAGTAGAGTGTTTAACTAGTATAACAAGCCCAGAGATGGAGCTAGAGCTCCATGTAAACAAACAATGGATCTAAGGATGTGGTCCAGTGATTACACAGGAGATCCTAGATTTCACACACACAAACACACATTCTCTGTCTCTGTCTCTGTCTCTGTCTCTCCTATATAAAACCAGCTCAGCATTCTTTGGGGCCTCGGATACTAGATCAGTATTTATCCCTGGCATCCAAATGGACTTTGGGAGCCCATTCCACATGGAGGGATTCTCTGACAGACTTTGGAGATCCCCCATGAATGGCCTCACCCTCCCTGGAGAGTGGAGTAGGGATTGGGTGGGGGGCTGGGGGCATTGGTGGGAGACGGGACGAGGGGAAGGAGAGGGAGCTGGGATTGACATGTGAAGCAAGCTTGTTTCTAATTTAAATAAATAATAAATAATGATAATAATAAAATAAAAACAGCTCAGTGATTTCAGATAAGGATTTCCTAAGCACAAAAGTAATTAAGTAATAAAAAATTACTCTATGTAACTACTTGAAAAAGATAAACATAATTAAAAGACATAAAACAAGAAGGTATTTACATCTCACCTGTCAGTGTCAAGAGTTCCCTGTTTAAAAAAAACAAAAAACGCCGGGCGTTGGTGGCGCATGCCTTTAATCCCAGCACTTGGGAGGCAGAGGCAGGTGGATCTCTGTGAGTTCGAGGCCAGCCTGGTCTACAAAGTGAGTTCCAGGACAGCCTCCAGAGCCACAGAGAAACCCTGTCTCGAAAAAACAAAAACAAAACAAAACAAAAAACCGCCAAAACACCACGCTACAATACAAATGTTGAAAAAGGTCATGGCGTGCTGGGCGTTGGTGGCGCATGCCTTTAATCCTAGCACTTAGGAGGCAGAGGCAGGCGGGATCTCTGTGAATTCGAGTCCCTGTCAACAAAACAAAAACAAATCAAGGCGAGAGCTGTATTTCCTGCACTTGGAAAACTGAGGAAGACAGCAAGTTCTAGGCTAGCAAATGTGCATACACCACACAGTATGTAGTGCTTTTCACATAAATCAGAGGCTATGCACTGCAAAACAACTGTGTAGCCCTTTTAGAAATATTTGTGAGAGAGTGGGGGGAAGTGGGTGGGGGGAGGTGCGGGAGAGATGGCTCAGCAGTTAAGAGCACTGACTGCACTTCCAGAGGACCCAGGTTCAATTCCCAACACCCACATGGCATCTCACAACTCTCTGTAACTCTAGTTTCAGGAGACTCAACACTCTCACACAAAACACCAATGCACATTTTAAAAAATCATCAGAAATATTTTACTAATTTCTGCAGTGTTCTTCCTTCTATGGCCCACACTTAGCTGAGATTCATGAATTCATATAAATAGAAACTGAAGCCAGGTTAGTTTTACAGGGCAGTAGAAACAGTGACTCTCTGTTCTTTCATTAAATTAAAGGAGTTCATAATCATTTATTTCTTAGAGGTCATTAATTAAGATTAATACAGTGTTAGGGAGGTCCTAGGGGAATACTTCAAGTCTCATAAGCCCTGAGATGGAAACCTAAATTTGAAGTAATTACTAGAAATCCAGTGAAACATGAATCCCTTTTGGTTTTTGGAAACAATGTTTCAATATGTAGCTTGGTCTACTCTCAAGTTCTTTTTTCCCTTTCTTTTTGCTCCTTCTTTTCTTTATTTTATCTTTTAAGATAGTATCTAGTGTAGCCCATGCTGAACTTCTATTGGATATGTACCTGGGAGTGATCTTGAACTCGTGATCCTCCTGCCTCCTTCTCCAAAGTTGTAGGCATACTCACTGTACCCAGCTCTCACTTTGATCTGGTGACCTTCCTGCTTCAGCCTCTAGGGCAGCGGTTCCCAACCTTCCTAATGCTTCACCCCTTGAATACAATTTCTTATGTTGTGGTGACACCCCCCAATATAAAGTTATTTTGTTGCTTCTTCACAGCTGTAATTTTGCTACTGTTACAAAATGTAATGCAGGATATCTGATACTTGACTCCTGCAAAAAGGTCATTCAACCCCTAGGGGTCTCAACCTACAGGTTGAGAACCGGAACTGCAGGCATGCATCACCACCGACCACTGAATGTCCTCTGTTCTGAGCCCTCCCCTGACTCCCAGCATGAGAACCCGAGTTTGAACACCTAGCACCCAAGTAAATAGTGAAGGTTACAACGTGTGCCTGTGACCTCAGCAGTGGGGGTGGAGCAGGAGGGGGTCACTGGGATTGCTGGCTGCCAGCCCAGCTCCAGGCTCCAGGTTCAATAATTAAGAAAATAAGGTAGACAGTGATGTTCTCTTCTGGCCTCTGTACTTGTGCCGGGATTCATGACTCATGAGCGAGTTCCAGGACAGGCTCCAAAGCTACAGAGAAAACCTGTCTCAGAAAATAGAAGAGGGGAAATAACCCACCTTATTTACAATGACTTCAGCAGATTTGCCAGGGGCCTCCACTCAGACAACCTGATGCATTTGTGAAAAGCCAGTTTATTTGTTCAAAACCTCAGTGTTTGGAGTGTCTTTGAGCAAAAGAACAGGTACAGAAGAAACCCCAGAGCCTAATGGGAGAAGTACTTCTTGGCTTATGATTACCAGGGTCAGGGAACTTCTAGTTATCCCTTAACTTTAATTGGTGTGACAACCATCCTGGCCACCTACCCGCTGCCAAGGTCAAAGATTGCTATTATACCAGAATAGTCTTGCTAACTCACTTCCTTTCAAATGAACCTCAAGAAAACAATCAGTGAAAAGAGGCTGTGATGCTGAAAACACTTTCGGTGGTGGGGGAGGGGGTAGGTGGGTGTGGCAGAGTGGGGGTGTTTAGCTCTGATAGGGCCTTTGCATCTTTCCCAACTGCTGCTGTTTTTCCAAATACATTTATATATAACTAATATATAAATAAAAGTGTATTAATTTTCTTTAGGGGTGGCTAGGGAATGGAGGGTGCACCGCTCTTGAAAAGAACCCGAGTTCAGGTTCAGCAGCTCACAGCCAACTCCAGCTCCAGGGCATCCGACACCCTCTTGTGGCCTCTGAGAGCACCTGCATTCACACTCGCAACCCCCCCAAACACAAATAAAAATCTTCTAAAGTTATTTAAAATTTTATTTGCATGCATGTGTGTTTTGCTACCCTGTGTGTATGTGCAGCACATATGTCCCTGGTGCTGCAAAATCAGAAGAGGAATTACAAGTGGCTGTGAACCACTTCCTGGGAAACAAACCAGGATCTTCTCTAGGATGCCCCAAATTGTTATTTATTGGGGGAGAATGACATATGCCATATCACTTTTGTGGAGGCCAGAGGATAACTCGCAGGGGTTGTTTCTCTCATCATGTGGATGCCAAGGTCATAACTCAGGCCATCAGATGGAGGTATGTCCTTTACCTTCTGAGTCACCACACACACACACACACACACACACACTTTCTAAAAAATCAGAGACACAGATTGTAATTCAACGTATTCCAGAAGAATGAAGAAATTGACTCTCAATGGGTATTGTATGGGTAAACCAGCAGTCTTCAGGAGTATGTGTATCCCATGTTAGACCACAAACTGTGCACGCTCCTTAAAATAAGATAGGCATCTTGTTTTTCCAGTGTTATGACCTGTGTCCGCACAGAGTATCTTTGCTACTTCCTCAGATCTAAGCATCACTGCCTGGAAAAGAAGCAATGAGGGAGGAAGCCTAATTCACTACTTCAGAATGACATTTCCAGTTTAAAGGCATTCCACCCCCTCCCCCGAAGGGCTTAGCTGGCTAAGAGTATTACAAAGATGTCTGCAGTGACAGTTTTAATCATCTTAAGGGCCTGTTTACTTCTGTGCCATATTGTCCTCCATGCTGTAATTTCACCTCGTGGCCCAGGTGAGGAGAAAGCAAAGCGTCACTTGGAAGCATGCTGCCAAAAGGAAAAGACCAAACTCACAGATGTATCATTTGGTCTTCTCATTCATTCCTTCTGTGTAGCGGGTGCTCATGTATCAGAAAGCAATTGAAGCCTCCACCCAGGAGTTTGGTGTGCTAACTTCAGTTAATAATGCAAGTCCTAGAAATGAGTCATTCAAAGGGAAAAAACAAACCCAGCCTAGGAAAGTATTAAGAGCATATGGAGTAGGTCCCAGAGAAGTAGATGCCAGTGTAGGGTGACCTGTGACAGCACCAGCAAATGTGCATAAAATGAATGCAAACTAAAAGAGCAACACAAGGGGTTGAAGAGCTGGCTCAGCAGTTACAAGCACTGGATGGTCTTCCAAAAGACCCAGGTTTGGGAGTTGGAGAGATGGCTCAGAGGTTAAGAGCGCTGACTGCTCTTCCAGAGGTCCTGAGTTCAATTCCCAGCAACACATGGTGGCTCACAACCATCTGTAATAATGCCCTCTTCTGGCTTGCAGGCATACATGCAGACAGAACACTGTATACATAACAGATAAATAGATAAATCTTAAAAAAAAAAAAGATCCAGGTTTGATCCCTAGCACAACCGTTGGTGGTTAACAACCCTTAGCTACTTGGGTCCCAGGGGGTCTGATACTATCTATCCTTAGGCACTGGGCATGCAAGTGGTAGACAACATGTAAATGTACACAAAACACAGAAAAAAAATCAAAGATCATATGATTTGTGGATGCTGTCCCAGGGTAGGTGGTTTTGCAGAGTTATTCTAAGCTGTGGGGGGTGGGGGAGTGAGAATACAGTTTTGCCTCAGCTGGGCAAACTATTGCACCCCAGCAAGACCAGAATAAACCTTAACAGGCTCTGGCTGAAATCTTAAGGTGCCAGGATACTATTGCAGAGGGCTCCACTCACTAATGAGCCGACTCTGATACTCGGGGAACTGCTAGGAACTCTTGACAATTCACACTTGTAAGATTTTTTTTTACTCTTGTAAGATTTTAAGAGACTATTTTTATTTTGTGTGTATCGGTGCGTTACCTGCATGCATGTGTGTGTGAGGATGTCAGATCCCCTGGAACTGCAATTAGATAGTTGTGAGCTGTTGTGTGGGTGCTTGGAACTGGAGAAGAGCAGCCAGTGCTTTTAACCGCTGAGCCGTCTCTCCAGCCCCTTCTCACTGTAAGATTTATTCCGCAGCCAACTATGATGAGAACTCTGTTGGATCATCAGCATGAGTCCCCTGGAGGTATCTCACCCACTAAGAGCTAAACCAGAGCGGTGTGGCATTTAAACACCACCTCATGACCTACACAGTGTAATTATCCATTAAAAAGGCCCCCCCTTTTTTAAGTTTGTCACCAAGCCTGATGACTTGAGTTTAATCCTCAGAAACCACATAGTAGGAGAGAACTAACACCTGTACATACACCCTGGAATGCATGAACATGCCCACACAAACACACATACACATAATAAATGTAAAGGAAAAGCAACGTCAGTGGAGTTCTCTACAGAACTTTACTCTTTCCAAGGCCTCATCCATAGCTAAGTGCTTTGTTCCTGTGTATCACACTGGGCCCAAAGTGAATCTTTTCTAAAAATAAGTGCATTATATGATATATTAAGTCCCTTCTAAATTTCCATAGCCAAAGTGTAAGCCAGACCTGGTAAAACAACCCTTTGTAAATCAACAACACACCATTGCCACCTAGTGTCAAAGATTGTTCATTACACTTCTGATCTTCAGGCCAAAGACCACACTTGGGATTCTCAACAATTCTTAAAGAATATAGCTTTATTTATAGAATCTTACAAATAAAACACAGTCTACATGACATAAGTTATTTAATTTTCTAATTCTTCTCATAACACCTGAGTTATTTAAAAAAATACTGTGATGGAACTGCAAAGGGAACTATGAATAAAATCCTCTCTTTTTTGCGAAAAAAGAAAAAAAAAAACTCACCCAGCTTATCTGCATCTCTTTGGAAGAGGGTTCACTAAAACTGGATCCTAGGCAATCCAGAGAAGTCCTTTAAAACCAGGGTGGAGGTTTACTAAGAATGCTCCCCCTGCTGACACCAGACACTAAATATAGGAGGGTGGGGGTGGGTGACAAAAGGCGAGGTCAGGGATGAGGTGTGAAGTGACAGAACCCTCTCCCTGGCTAAGGGCTCTTCTGTGTGACAAGTACTTTCCTTGCTAGTGTTAGCAGGAGGAAGAAAGCTGCAGGCAATATGGCGCAGGGTGGGGCAGCCGCCTGCTAAACAACTCGCCACCCCTTGGACTTCTAATATGTACAAATGCTTAAAACAGCAAGTTCAAAAAGAATTCGGTGGCCACAATTTCAACTCGCTGGGCAAATCTGCTGCCAACAATGGATAATCAGTTGGATTGGAGCACCCCCCCCCCCCCACTGGCTACCTGAGTCCAGGATTTCCCTTTAACGGCAGCTGTCTGCACAAGAAAGTTCTCAGTTCTTGTGAAGTGTGCATGGCAAGCACTCTATCTCATTTTTAAGTTCTTCTAAACAAACTAAACCACTGTCCTCCTTCAGCATGAAGGCATTTAAGGAATAATAGTATCTAGAGGAGACTTTAAAATTATAATACACGAACATGAACTAAGCAAAGCAGAATCTTTCAGTCTTTTTGTGGGGTGTGTGGTGGTGCTGGGAATGAAATTCAGGGTGTCACACACACACACACTAGGAAAAAGCTCCGCCACTGAGCCACACCCTCAGCCCACGCATAAAATAGTATTAAGTTGTATGTTTTTATCTTCCTTTGTCTTGCTGACACAGGATCTCACTTTGTAGCCTGGACTGGCCTGCAATTCACTATAAAGCCCAGGTTGGTGCATAAATTGAGCCTCTGGACCACCACGCCCGGCTCAGCCTTGAACTCTGTGTCAATTTCCGCTAGCTCCGGAAGCAGTTGTTGGAAAAATAAAACAAAAAAGAAAGAGACTCATCTTCAAACAGTAATGACAGTAACATAAAATATTAGATTCTGAGATTGAAGGAATTCGTTCTTTGGTAAAACTGGACCCTTATCCTACCAGGACTTGGTCCTGACATTCAATCTAGAACCTTGAGTTTTCTCTTCCTCCCTGCCTCTTCTCAAACCCAGTCAAAGCAAGAGGTAAGAGCAGGAAAGAGACCGAGCAAGCCTCTGCTTCTCCAGTTGTGTTGTCAGGATTCCTGGTTTTCAAGCATGTTTCCCCAAGAAGAATGAACATATATATGTTCACACATGCCACATGCACATATATATGCTCACACACATATATGCATGTATATATATGTGTGTATGCTTATATACGTACACACATACATACGCATATATACATATATGTGTATATACACACACACACACACACATATATATATATATATATGCTGCTTTTAATGGACAGTTTTCCTGTGGTAAGAAGAGAAAGACTCAGGTGTTGGCAATGAACCAGTACTATCAGTCATGCAAACAGTGGCCCCTGGGCTGTGACTGTGGGCACACTAGGAAAGGCTCCGGGAGAGACTGGCTCCCTAAAGTGGCTAAGGAATCCACATTATCAATATGATAATAATAAATTAATTCACTCAGTGAACCTGGAGATTAGCTCCCCTGGAAGCCAGAGTTCTGACGAGAGGGCTCCACAGTGTCTGAGGCTGGCCTGTGGTGTGAGTGACAAACACAGCCATTCATTTTCCTGGAGCAAAGAAAGCAAGTTACACTCAGTTCAGTTCAGGGTTCAGTCTTGTTGGCTGGGGCCAGGGAGGAAGCGGTAGCTAGGCAGTGTGCCCTTTAAAACCCACTGGCAGCAATGACATCTGTAGCCCTGACCTGAAGGTTTGACCTCAAGGTCCAGAGTCCCTTGGTATTCACCTATTATTTCTGCAATTAGCAAGTCCTAAGTTTGGTCAGCACTGACTCCGTTTCTGATTACCTTTGTCACAATAAGGCATAAACAACTGTGTCCTGATTCTGAATCAGGTTCTACTTGACAGAAGTCTAGACCAGGGGAGATTAATTTGTGCAATTTCCCCCTCTAATGCAAAATCTTAAATGTGCTCCTAGTGAGGCATCTAAAAAAGTATCTAGAAAAAGGAAGCCAAGAGGGGTGTGTGTGTGAAAACCAGGGCAAAACGAATTGATTTAGCACAAATCTCTTGCTACTCCAAAAAATGTCCACAGTGGCTCACCTGGCTGATTCTGTGACACAGACGCTGTACAGCCAGCACCCAGCATCCTAGTGGACACCAGAGAGCACCAAGGAGGCAGGATATCCACCATGAGTTCTAATTCCTTGTCACCCAGGGTGACCCCCTGCCTCAACTGCTCAGAATGCCAGTCTCTTTCAGAGAACTGTTACTTGAACAGACTGAAAACAAAAATGGGATTCTTATCTTCTGTCCTTTCTTTGTAAAAACAGGAGAACTCATGTGAAGATGGAGTGACCTGAAGTCCGGGGCACACACATTCAGAATCACAGGCCCCAAAGTCAGATGCCACCCTGGTATTTCTAACCAAACCATGACCACTGGTTTCATTTTTACACTGTAAAAGATTCGACATCTCTCAGTGCTTCCTCCAAGAGAAAAAGACAGGTGAAGGTGACCAGAAGGAAAAGGGAGGTGTGTCCTACATGAGGGAGGCATTTCAGTTCCAGAATTATCTGTGGAAAGCATTGGGAGACGGTTTGAGGCACTACCTAGAGAGTGTCCCAGGGCGGGTTCTTCCTGGGACAGAAACGTTTTGAAACAGCTGACATCTGAATGTGGGCAGGCAGTAGGCGCCAGTGTGTAAAAAACTGCCTCTTCCACGGTGCTTCATGGATGCTGAGTCCTCAGGCCAGGGATATAAGGCCCAGAGTCCGACTTGCAATACCACTGGCTTCCCGCTGGCAGGGTCCTACCCAATCTGAATCTGCCCTGAATACATTGTGAGGACCAGCATGATGGAGAAGCCAGTCAGGAGGCCAAGGTTCTGGATGACAAAGGGGACCAAGAAGCTGCTCTTCCTCTCGTCCTCTTGACAGACCTCGTTCATCTCCGGGAACTGAGAAAGGAGAGCAAAATGTGAGTTACAGTTTCCATCATCATCTTACCAACTGTGGTGATTGGGACAAGTTATCATTTGAATCCACCCCCACCTCACCCCATTTATGGTGGCGGAATGTTGGAGATTCTGGTGACTTCTCTGGAGGAAGTAAGTCATTGGGGGCATTATCTTTGGCCATTCCCCGTAGTTCTCAACTATATGGCTGCTGGAAACAAGACCTCAACAATGCCAACACTAATTGCCATGTCAGCGTGGACTGGAGGAAACCTCACCAAGCCCCACCAATAGACGAAGAGTTACAGACAATGACTGCTCAGAGGGAGAATCAGACTTCCCCAAGCATGAGCCCTCTAGTTGGATATCCAATTCACATAATACATACAAGCAACATTAAATGGATTGAGCAGCTTGTATGTGTTTGTGTGTATGTTATATATATATATATATGTATTTTACACACACACATACAGACAGACAGACACACATATATCAATAATAATTGGAGAAAAAGAGGCTATGAATTTGAGGGGGGATGATGGCACAGGAGGAGTTGGAGGAAGGGGCAAATGATGTAAACACAGCACTCATATATGAAATTCTCAAAAAATATTAAAACTTTATAAAAAAGATATAGCTACCATTATTTGTGATAGACACAATGCTCTTTCTCTTTCACTCTTTTCTTTTGATAACTCTTCCAACAAATTTAAATAAGGACCCTGGACTGATTACAGTCAATTTTCCTTAATGACATGGTAACAGAGGGAACCAAAGTTCTCTCTTTAAAATCCAATGACTTGTACTAGAGAGATGGTTCAGTGGTTAAGAGCACTGGCTGTTCTTCCAGAAGTCCTGAGTTCAATTCCCAGCAACCACATGGTGGCTCACAACCATCTCTAGTGGGATCTGATGCCCTTTTCTGGCATAAAGGCACACATGCAGACAGAACATACAAATACATAAAATAAATTAAAAAACAAAACAATGATTCAATGGGATAACAGTTACTCCTATATGCCCAGCATCTGGAAGGTTGAGGCAAACTGCAACGACTTCAAGGCCAGTCTGGGCTAAAAAGCAAGCCTCTTGTTTCAACAAACACAGACAGAAAACCCTAATGCTGCCTTGAAAATGCTGAGTCTATCATTCTTCAATTTTGAAAATTTATTTGGTATGTATGGATGTCTATGTACCACAGAATAGGTTGGATCCCCTGGAACTGTAGCTGCAGATGGCCCTAAGTCACTATACAGGTCTTGGGAATCAAACCTGGGTTCTCGTCAAGAGCAGCCAGTGCTCTTAACAGCGGAGCCATCTCTCTATCCCTGAACTGTTGCATCACTGATTTAGTGAATGGTGTGGCATGGGAAAGAGACCTCAATAAAGCTGTTATTAAAAACAAAATCATGGAAGGTGAGATGATTCAGTGTGAATGAGTACTTGCTGCTGAGACTAAGGACCTGAGTTCCATTTCAGGAACCCATAAGATAAAGAAAACCAGCCCTCACAAGCTGTCTTCCACAAGAATGAACTCGCACCCATACAAAAATCAATGTAAAAAGAATTAAAAAACAAACATTCTAATGTGTGTCCTTTCCTTCCTACTCAAGGGTCAATCATAAGCCACGGCACACTTACCATATCGGCTAGAGCAATATACAAGAACATTCCTCCGGCCAGCGCAAAAATCCAGTTGGCGGAGAAGTGACTTCCAGCCAGGATGCCAAAGGCCAGACCCACATAGCAGCAGCAAGCAGAAAGGAAGTTGAAGAAGAGAGCCTGCTGGATGCTCATCCCAGCATTGAGCAGGATAACAAAGTCTCCTACAACAGGGAAAGAACAGGAAGGGATGAGTCAGGACACGGGACTACTAATGAATCAGACTGCTCCAACGGTGGATGACTTGTGGGTCCTGAGATGAAGGCACCTACATCGTCCAACTCTGGCTCTGGCTTCCCAGCACAGGGACTGGAAAGGATTCATAGGGTTTTGAAAGTACATAAATAACCAACAGTGGCCTTGTTGCTCCCCACCTAGAGGACAGAAATAATTTACAAGAATTTAAAAGTAGACGGCCAACTAGCAATGGCCTCGTTTCTCTTTGGACTGAAATAAAAATAGCTCCCTTTCTCCTAAGATGGTACATTCAGGAAACCAAACTGAGAGAGGGAGAAATTAGTCACAAGCTAACAAATGCCAAAGTTAGGACCCTGGGCTGTCGCTAAGTCTTGAGTCCTGGCTTCTTACTCTTCCTTGGTAAAATTATATACATCCTGAAGCTCTGTTTTTTTCACTTTAGCAGACTCCCAGCTTCTGCAGGATGAAAAGGATGTAAGAGATGATCGTCTTCACTGAGTATCCAGACTAGCTTATAGCACCTGCTAAGTCCAACATTTGTTTGCTTATTATTCCCTTGATGATTCCAAAAGGCAGGTGCAGTTATTAACCACACAGGTGAGAAGATTAAGCCACAGTATATGGGGCTCATGGAATAAAAGTCTTCCTGTAAAAACCGTTCTAAGCTACACTCTATTTTGGAAGTTAGACGGAACACCATAGAGGTGGAAAAGAGGGAGAGGCAGCAGGGGCTGAGACACACGAAGGGTGTCTCAGACAAAAACTGAGACAGCTGGCCCAGAGCAATAGGCGATGCGCACTCACCCAGCTCGTGTGGGAATTCCTCACAGAGAATGGCCACGGATGTGCTGATGCCTTGGAAAACAGACACGGTGAAAGAGGCACCAATAGCCAGGCCATCGATGAAATTGTGGAGACCGTCGCTCAGGGTGATCATCCAGGCCAGGGTACCAATATCAGAGTATCGGACCCCTTTGAGCCAGTAGCAAGCACTCTGGGATGCCTGCAGGTCCTAGGAGAGAGCATATCCCAGGCACCCTGAGATTACAGAGCGACTCTGGTAAGCCTGACTCACCCAGGCCATGGCTTCCTAGAGGCGCCCCCGGAGCTGGGGCCTACTGACCTGCACAGACATGGAGCCTACGATGACCTTCTCGTCCGTGCCAGCTGCCTTGCCATCCAGCTCGCTGTTGCAGTGCTGAGGGATCATGTGGTCCAGGTCCCCGTTCTGTAGCTTCTCCGTCACACCCTCCTCCTGGTCCTTCTTGGAAGGGAGAGTGTTGGAGGTAAAATGGTTGTGTCCGTGATGGTGCTAGAGATAGAAAAGGGATCGGTGTTACTGACCAAAACCACTAGCCCAACCACAGCACCCTCTGGGAGGAAGCGTGCTTACGCCGGGCATTCCTACATCGCAGGAAACTAAGCAGGCCACACACACGGATTGGGGGAACATATTAGTGGCAACACACATGAAGACAAGGACTTCCTATCAGACAAAAGTAATCTCCCGATGTCAGTCGATCGAGTGGGGTGACCACTACTCTCAGTACTTAGATTCCTCTTCAAGATGGCCTCTTCATTCAACTCTAACAGGCAGTAGCCCCATGCCAGCTACTGGAGACCTCTTATTGGAGCTACACTGTTCCTGGATGTCTGTCACCAAGCCTCTTTACTGTCTTCTATAGGGAGACTGCCGGGCTTGCTCTGCAAGTGCCTTCACACGCTGCTGACCCACACCAGCGTTGTTTGAAGTTAGTTAAAGGTTTCCCTTAGCTCTCCCATCGCTACCTCCAGGCCTCACCTCGTTTTTCTGTTTCAGGAGCATCTTCAGTATCTTCTCTGTGAAAAAGAAAAGGTAGAAGCCTCCGAATACCACTGCAGACTTGGAGACATAATTGTCCTGAGGGTTGAAACCAAAGGCCTGTGGGCACAGGAAAAGAGAGTGAGTTTAGGTAAACGAGCCTTCATCATTCCCCTGCTTACCGATCTCTCCACTCTAGGAAAGAGGCGGCCCGGGGAGCTCTGCTCTCTGCACATTCTCTTGCCAGCAAAAACCCTACCTTGGCATTCCCCTGATCTGTCAGCACGAGCTGGGTGGGCTGGGTATTCTCTTCTGACACAAAATACAGATCAGCTTTGGCATTTCCCGACCCTGGGGTTTGGAGTCAGGACCTTATACGTGCTAAGGTACCACTCTACCACTAGGCTATGTCTCCAGCCCATATTTATGATAAAAGTCATATATGTCACATATACATGCTAGAAATCATACATATCATGTATATATGACATATGCAATTAGGTTATATGTATGTTCTGTGTTTGTTTGCAAATGTGCAGTGGGTGTCGGAGGGGGCAGAGAGGGCATCAGGTCACCTGACCCTGGAGCTGTAGGGCAGCTGTGAGTCATATATGTGCTGGGAACAAAACTCTGCTCCTCTGAAAGAGCAGCAAGCGTTCTTAACTGCTGAGCCATCTCTCCAGCCTTGAGCTGGAGAAAAGACACTGCGTGTGGTGTTCTACTTTTTTGTTTGTCTGTTGGTGGTAGTGGTCTCTTTTGAGATAGGATCTCTTTCCATAGCCTAGACTAGCCTCAAACTCACAGCAATCTCCTACCTCAGACTCCTAAGTGCTGGGTTATAGGCATGTGCTACCATGCCTAGCTTGACTGGCCTCCTTCCTTCCTTCCTTCCTTCCTTCCTTCCTTCCTTCCTTCCTTCCTGTCATCACATAGACCAAGATGACCCAAACTCAGACAGCAGCCTGCCCCTACCTCCTCAGTGCTGTGGATTGGAGATAGCTTTTCTCTTTTAATGAGAACACTCCTTCATTTCTGTCAGTACCTAGCCACACAAGCACTCAGTCATCAAATTCCATATTTAAAGGGAGGCCACTTGCATTTATTTTTGCCTCATCCAGTGTCCCTGGTTGATCTGCCCATAAACACAATAGGAAGTGGTTTACTTATGATTGCTAAAAAGGGAAATCCATTCCAGTTCTACAGCAAGAATTGCAGCATTTTCCTGACCACAGAACCTTGAAAGGACCACAAACCAAGAAAGCAGGCTACATCCTTGCAGGCATCAATCTTGGGGTGGTTTAAAGCCAGCCCTAGTTACACATGCCTGCAGTTTCCACAGCTCAGGAGGAAGAGGTGGGAGGACCCAGAGCCCAGGCATGTGAGGTCAGCCTGCCCAAAAAAGATTCCATCTCTTTAGAACATAGTAAAAACTTTTTTTGAAAAGAATGGAGTGGAGGGTATGTTTCTTTGAGTTCCGTCTGGAAATTTCACTTATTAAATAAGGAAGGAGAAAAAAGGACTTGTTGACAGGAAGACAGGAGTAGCCAGAGACTTGTCCTAATTCGGCTCCTGGCTTATGGTGTCAAGTGTCCAATGACCTGCTTGTCTCTTCTCTAACAGAGAACAGGCTCGTAGAAACTACATTCCCAGCACTCAGGAGGCTGACACAGGAAGACAGGGTGTTTGAGACCAAGGAGTGAAACTGCCTCAAAAAATAAACTCCAGCCGGCAGCAGTGGCACACGCCTTTAATCCCAGCACTTGGGAGGCAGAGGCAGGTGGATCTCTGTGAGTTCGAGGCCAACCCTGTCTAGAGTGACTTCCAGAACAGGCAGGACTATTATACAAAGAAACCCTGTCTTGAAAAAAAATTAATTAAATACAATTAAAATTTAAACACCCTCCAGCTCTCTCTGGAACAGGACAGACAGAAGCTGACCCTTCTGAAGGGGAACCCCACAGCCTCCAGAAGCAAGCACTTTTCCTCTAGCGTCATCTTCTAAGAGACCTGGAGGGCAAATGCTAAAGAGGCCCTGTTTTCAGGTGAGCGCTCCTGGAGAAGAGGTGCATCCTGGGAAAAAGCCAGGAGGTGAGGTGGGATTCAAGGCCTTGGGACAGTGGCCTCTTCTGCAGGCTCTGTGGGTAAAACATGACTAGGTCACAGCTACCATGGCTGCTCCACTAGGAACACAAAGCAATACTGTGGAAAACTGTGTTCTCAGAAGCATGTGAAAGTGTCTATTGCCTTTGCTCAGACCTGTTAGACCACCTACAATGAAATGCCTTGTGCTTATTATAATTATCGCGTCTACTGAAGATACCTCACTAAGTCAGATGGAATGTCTCCGAAGCTGACTACCCAGGCTTCAAAACACTGGCTCCCTTCTGTGGAAGATCACCCACGTGAAGGTGCCATTGACGTGTTTCCTTCAGATTTCCTCTGCCCTCAAACTCCCTACCAAAGAGAACAGGGTTTTCACTGAGACCTATGGATTCTGTTGTGTTTTTGGTTCTCTGAAATGAAGCCCCACACTGAGCCAGAGCTACACTAGCTTTTCTTTTTTATTAAAACAAATCCATATTTTATGTATATGAGTGTTTTGTCTGCATGTGCACCACAAGTGTGCTTGCGGAGGCCAGAAGAGGGAGGGCATTGAATTCTCTGCAACTGGAGTTACAGTTTAAGCTCTGTGTGGGTGCTGGGAATCAAACCACAACAGCCAGTGTTCTTAACCACTGAGCCATCTCTCCAGTCCTGAGTTACACTGGCTTTTTACTCAGCAGTTCCAGCACTTTGGAGGCACTCATGTGCCTTTGAGGTCAATCTGATTGTCTGCCATTTTATACAAAGAATAGAGAGGTGAATGGCTGGTCCAGGATGTAGAATATGGAGATGGGAAGGATGGGACTTCAACCTAGCTCTTAAACCTCCTCTAGTTCCTGCCTTGGTCCCAGCTTTACTTTCCAAACAGAAAGAACCTTGGGGGCTAGTTCCTCTGCCTTCCATGTAAACAGAGGGGCCTACCCCTGTGCCTACTAGCAGACGGGGTGCTTTGGGGTGAATGCTGCAGCTTGCCATACCTCGGGGATGAGCTGGAAGAGGGCGTTGGAGTAGAGGGTTCCAATCGCCAAGGCTATGAAGTAGAGCAGCAGCCTCTTGTAAAAAGTCTTCTTCATGAAGGGCACCACGCTGGCCCCCATGAGGGAGCAGAGGGAGATGACGGTAACACAGAGGAGACCGTACCCCCATACTGCCAGCCCACCCAGGACAGGGAGCAAGGCAACCACCATTAGGGAAAGGAGGTGGAGAGGAGAGTTGTGGGTATTAACGAAGGAACCCAAAAAGAAAAACCAGAGACAAGTAGGGAGGGAGAGAGAAATAGGAAACTTGTTAGTGATTCGAGTCTGATGCAATTTCCTTCAATCAGTGCAAGAGGGTATGAGGAGGAATTTGAGGTGGCCTTGGAACCCTGTGACTACTGCCCTTGCTCCTGAGGTGGCCTGGGTCATACCAGCCAGCTGGTGTGACGGGCAAACAGGGCAGGACGCTGCCTCATCACACGCACCACATGCTCTGGGCCAGCAAAGACTTTGCACTCAGGTCTTTTAAAAGGACACCAAAGCAAATTCAGAGAGAAGTTCGGTGTGTCACTGGCTTTGCTTCTGCACATTTTAGCCATGTCATGGAGGCGCACGTGATACTACCCAAAGATGGTTTGGTTTGTACAAGATACAACAAAGTTACGCGCAGGGCAGAACAGGTAAGACTCGATGCCCATCAGATTTGGTTTCTAAGCAGTTGTGTTTGTTTGTTCCTATTTACTCTGAGAGGAACTTGGTGTAGAAAGCAGAGTTCCAAGACCAACTCATCATAAAAATTATTTCAAATGCATTTCCCAGGGCGACACACTCCGGGTTGTGACTGCAGCCCTCAGGAGGGAGCACACAAAACTGTACCACAATGGCAACCCTCGTGTGACCCCAAGGGCGGAACACGGGCAATGGCAGTAGTACCAGCCAAATAGGCAACGAAACGTTTCATTTCAAATCCCTAAAAAAATTAGTAAATTCAATGGCTGGAGCTGAAAAAATAGCCCAAGATGAGGTCTCCCTTGGGAATTTTGAAACTGTGAAGGGAGCTGACCGTAACTCCATTCTTCCCTCATGAAGGAGGAGGTGGGTCTATGAAAGCTTGCCTAGGACAGTCCCTTGGCTGACGGGGGGCTTCAAAGCCAGCGTGATGTGAGCTTTCATGGAAGCTTTCACATCGCCAAAGGAGTCAGCCAGGTAGCGACACACTATTTCTCCAACAGTAACACGTGACTGGGCCGTAAAGGTGGGTAGACGGTCAACTTGGGTCTTATTTTTGTAGCTCCTCAGTGATGACAATTAAAGAACAAAATTACTGAACACTTCCAAACAGTGGGATGAGGTACCAGGAAGTCAGACCTGTCAGGGAAAGATCAAGATGCAAGGTACTAACAAGTGAGCTTCTCTTTCATGCACTGCATTTGTTTTTTGTTTGTTTGCTTGTTTGTTTCGGTGGGAACAATATATTTGCTAAGTTGCCTCCCCCCCCAAATTTCCAAGTGCTGCCGGGCAGTCACGAGCTGCCGCAGCTGCCTTAAATAACAATCAGGCTCAGGCTTTTGAAAGCCACTGTGACCTTCCTTCCTTCAGCCTCATTCCTCACGAATGATCAACCGGAGTGCACACGTGAGCGCTCCCAGGAGTTCCCTTAGAATATGGGGACTGCCTTGCACACCACACCCACAAACTGCAACTTTCCTTTGGACTCCCATAAATGGGGGTTCTGCAATGCAGCCAAAAGAGAACCCCAGGAGGGGGCTCACATGTTCAGACCCTTGCATCTGATGTCACCTGAAGAGGCCAGAGGCCAACCTGAGTGAAGAGGCATGAGAGAAGTTATTGGACCCCCTGATATGAAGAGTAAATTCACTTTTGGGGGGGCAGTTATTGGGAGTCTTAGAACAGAGAGGGAGAATTCAGCTGGAGGACTCGGCCGGGGTAGCCGGGGTAGCCGGGGTGGCCCGGAGGAAGTGAGCGCGCGCCTGTTCTACTGCACCTCTGGGATGAGCTGGAAGAGTGCGTTAGAGAGCAGCGTTCCAATGGACAGGGCGATGAAGTAAGTGAGCACACGGCTGAAAAACGCTTTCTCCGTGCATGGCAGGACCAGGACTCCCAGGAGAGAGGCCAGGTTAATCAGTGAGACACTGAGGAACCCAAAGCCCCACACTGTGGAGGAACAAGAACAGATGAGGGCCTCCATTACCGAGGGCGGGCACTTGTGCTGCTGCCAGTGATCTAAGCACACAAGTCCCTCAGGAAATGTTTGGTGACTCCCATCTCTTGCTAGGGAAGGCTCAGGAAAAACGATGTCAAGGTTGCTGCCGGAGCAGCTCACCTTCTAGAGGGAGAGACTGGGGATCAACACGGTGGAGTGAACACCATTGGTTGGACAGTACATGTACTTATGAAGGCAACACGTTAGGTCTGGTAGCCCTTGCTGGCTATATAGGATTTCAGGAAAGCACTCAAGAATTCAGGCGGGGTGAATCCACTCTAGGAGGCGGGGATAATGAAGTAGTCAAGGGAGGTCATAAAGGTTGGCACTCTTACAGTTTAATGAAAACAAAGAGTGAAAAACATATTCACATGCTGGCCACAGCCCAATGCCCTGTGTTCACTGGCCAGCCGCCCACCCAGGGTCTGCTGATGTAGTGGAAGAGTCTGGTGCACATGCCAATTATCACAGTCTGCCATCACTCCATTCCCCTCCGCTCCTTACTTACCTTCGATGGCGCTAGGCTTCCCCTCCTCTGTCTGTTCATTTTCTTCATTCTCCTGGTTTTCTGAGGTACAAGCCCGGGAGTCCAGCTGCTGGAGGATGGTGGGGCAGAACTCCCGAAACTCATTCATCCCGATCTGAGATCGCTCGCTGAAATTGTGGGCAGCAAAGAGGTCTCCAGAGCTAAAGCACTGAAACCAGAGGGGGGCGAAAGGGCTCTTAAACTCTAAAAGCAGTGCCCTGCCCCACTAAGTCCCAGCACCCTCAGAAATAAAGAGAAAATGGACACGACTCTGGAGACTCATCTCCAGGGACGAGAGAAAGGAATTTCCCGCACTTGAAAAGGTCAGTCACCATCATGGCGAATGGTTAGTACGCACAACTGTAAATGGCTGCAGGAAGAGGTTTGGGACCTTAACCTCAGCTACTTGGGTGGCTGAGGCAGGAAAACTGCAGCTTCAAAGGATGTCTGGACCACAAAGCAAATTCAAAGCCAGCCTGAGAAGCTCAGCAGGACCCTGGTTCCAGGTGAAGAGAGAAAACAGTAAAGAGTGCCGGGCGATGTAACTGAGGCACAGCATGCCTGTCTAGTATGCACCTGCAAGGGCTATGTCCAGTCCTACCGGGGGTGGGGTAACAGTGGAGGACAAGATTCCAGTCATGGGGCCAGGGTGTGGTTTCAGAAAAACAGGATTCTATCTGCAAACCTGGCATCAAATTTAGCTGCACATTACAACAGCCCAGTGAGCTAGTCTGCTAAAATGCAGATCCTAGAAACTTCTACTGGACTATGGGTGTGTGCTGGTTAGCAGACACAGGCACCGGTCGTGACCTTGGGGAGTCTTGCGTAACGTGGGAAATTGAATTTGAGAGCTCTCCCCACACCCTCTCTCTGCGCGTGCGTGCGTGCACGTGATGTTCATGAGGCCAGGAGAGGACACTGGGTGTCTGGTTCTGCTGGTCTCCCTACCTTATCCCCTTGAGACAGCGTCTCTCATGGAACCTGGAGCTAGGTTGGCAGCTGGTGAAACAGCACTGGACTATAGGTATGCATGGCTACCTATCCTTTCACTTGGGCTCTGGGCATTCAAACTTGGGTCCTCAAGTTTGCAAAACAAGCGCTCTTACCACTGAGATGCCCACAATGCCAATTTCCTAATTTCTCTTCATTCACGCAAACCTAGTCCTTTCTCTGAGTGTGGTTTCACCAGGGTCTACCCCTGAGAGTTAGCCCTCTGGGGATGCCAACAATACAGGTTTTTAGACATATAAAGTTTAAGTGCTGAACTCTGTTAAACCCAGAACACTGCTGCAGACCCCACGGCCCATGTGTCAGTCCCTGGCCACAGGTCTGCTTCTCACCCCCTATCCATGTGGCACATGCGCCCCCCCCCCCCCCGTAATGCTGACACTTGTCCTACTTGAGCAGCTCTGCATGCTACACAGCGCCCTGTCCACTTATTCCTTTCACACTATTTATTCATCCTTCTGGGTATGGCTTCAGCGTGCCTCATGCACAAACCCTAAACTATTCTGGAACCTTCACTCCCGTCTGTCTCATAGACAAACCCCGTAATTACAGCGCAGCCCACAAAGCGTGGTACTTTCCTTTCATTCCAGCTAGCTGAGCTTCTCAACTCAAGCATGGCATGTGGGCCTCTGCAAGGGCAGCCAGTGCTCTTAACCAGTGAGCTCCCTCAATGGGACTCCTGTTTCTCCACCTCCCACAATGCTCTGTATGAGGAACAAAACAGAATATAAGGACGTTGTTGGCTAACCTGCTGGGCTGCCACAAATAGCAGGTTCTCTGAGTGGCTGTGATAATGTGGAAGAACACAGAACCAAGAGCTCAAAGCCCCGGGTTTTAGCTGAGACTAGAGTCTCGACCCCATCCCAAGAACCCTTGTGAAACCACTCCCCAGAAAAACAATTCCCCTTGCACCTGAAGGGATTGTGAGGCGCATCTGGCATGGTGTGTAGTGTAAACAATAAACTCTACTGGATATGCTCTCCTATGGTTTGCAAGCAATGACCTGGGCGCAGCTACAAACCAACATGTAGGTAGGTCAGGAGGTCTCACTGGACATGCAGAATGTGTCGATCCCAACAAAGCTGGGAGCTGACTGCCACAGGCCTACCTGACAGAGAGGAGCCTTACCGTGGAGAGGTTCCTGTGTCCTTCCCTGGGCTGAGTAACGTTATCCCGGCCTACTCCCACATCCAGTTTGTTGAGCAGGGCCTTCAGCTGTGGCAGGGTAAGGCTGTCATTCTCCCCATAGCGATTCATGAGATCTTCCAGGAAAGAGGTGGCGCTGAGGGGCAGCATGGCAGTAGATGAGGCAGGAGTCTGGGCAGCAGTTCTCCAGATACCACAGAGCACCAACAGGAGGCAGCTAGGAAGGGCTGGGTGCAGGGGCTTCATGGTGACCAAGTACACCTAGAAGAACACAGAGTCAGGTGAGGGCAAGATCTCTATCTGCCCCAGCACTAGAGCACCATCTCAGCACCCTTGCCAAGGACAAGGGCTCCCTTCCCTCAGACCCTGAGTGGGACGAACATCCAAGTGTGACTTGGTCTCCTTCTCTAGGTGCTCGACCTGACTTTAGAGAAACCCTCCTTTTGAAGGGGTAACATGACAAGGGACATGCTGGGCCCTGGGGTACATGTCTCCCAACACTTAGGAAGATCAGGAGTTCAAGGCCAGTTTTAGCCACACAGTGAGCTTGGGCTATGCAGAAACCTGTTCCCCCAAAAGGGTGATAATAGGGTGGAAAGCCTTCTTTCTTCAGGTGTCTGTCCTCCTGTAAGAAACTCAGAGAGTCTAAACTAACACACACATAGCACACACACACACACTGAATGGATACAGGGACTCAGTGGGAATGAGACAAGAGAGGGTACTGAAGAGTTAGTAAGATCAGAATGCTTTATATTCATGTATAAAAATGTCACAATGATCTCTGTAAGTTCGAGACCAGCCTGGACTACCAAGCGAGTTCCAGGACAGCCTCCAAAGCCACAGAGAAACCCTGTCTCGAAAAAAAACAACAACAACAAAAAAATGTCACAATGAAATACTGTGCTAATAAAAATTTATTATTTTATGTGTTGGGTGTTCTGGCGGCATCTATGTCTGTGTATTAAGTGCATACCTAGGTGTCCCAGAGACTAAAGGAGGGTATTATATGCCCTAGGACTGGAGTTATGGACAGTTGTGAGCTATACCATGTTAGTGCTGGGTCCTCTACAAGAGAAGCCAGTGCTCTTAACCACTGAGCTGTCCCTCCAGCCCCTAATAAAAAGTTTTAAAAAGAAGAAAAACAGATGGGCAGTGGTGGTGCACATCTTTAATCCCAACACTCCAGAGGCAGAGGCAGGTGGATCTCTATGAGTCTGAGGCCAGCCTGATCATCAAAGTGAGTTCCAGGACAGCCAGGGCTATACAAAGAAACTCTGTCTCAAAAAAAAAAAAAAAAAAAAGCCCTGGTTCTATGCACACAACTGCAAAACACAACCCAAAGACCTCATGTTCCAGGGACTAAATTGCAGAATTCATCTTATTTCCAGAATTTACATATTTCAAACTGTATCCACACTTCCAGAATTTATTCTATCAATGCAATCTTAATAATAATAATAAAAGCTAGGGGCTGGATAGACGGAGTGGTGGGTCAAGCATTTGCTGATCTTGCAGGGGATCAGGGCTCGGTCCTCAGTGCCCACAGAGCAGCCTGAGCATCTGCAACTCCAGTTCCAGGGTCTCTGGTGCCCTCTTCTGGTTCCCATGGGCTTACACTCAGTGTACTTAACGTACATGCAAGCAAACACTCACACAATAAAATTAAAATAAAGAACACTTAAAACTCAGAGATCTGCCTGCCTCTGCCTCCCTCCTGAGTGCTGGGATTAAGGTGTGCACCACCACTCCCTGGCTATAATATAAAATTTTAAAGCAGAATTATTTCATACAGTTAAAAAAAAACTGAAGGGGAACAAAGACAAATGAGAGCTGGTTACAGTTTTCCCGTTAATCATTTACTTCCCTTAGTACAGTTATAGCTTAGTGACATCAGCAAACATGAGGAGGTGCCAGCCCAACAGAACTCTATAGGAACAGTGTCCCCATGGCTAAGAAACAGGCCTCCCTGAACCCTGCCCCTGCTGTTTACAATGCGATTGTGGGTAGTTACTTAACCAGAAACACCGCAGAATGATCCAGGGCATCTTACCATAGCTATGGCTTTCATTTCCACACCGTCGCTTACATGAGGACAGGCACTGGGCAAGTCACTCAGCCTCAGCTGCCTCCGTTTTCTCATGTGTAAAGGTGGTACCCACCTTACACCTCACTGGATCACAGTCAAAAGTTAAGAACCACAGTGCTGGAAAAGCCCTAGCCACTAACTACCTAAACTGAGATACTCAAAAGCTGGCTCTGGCAGTTCAGTCTAGCCTGTATTACATAGTGAGACAAAAGGAAAAGGAGAAAGGGGGGCCACAGGCCAGGAAGGAAGGAAGGAAGGAAGGAAGGAAGGAAGGAAGGAGGGAGGGAGGGAGGGAGGGAGGGAGGGAGGGAGGGAGGGAGGGAAGGAAGGAAGGAAGGAAGGAAGGAAGGAAGGAAGGAAGGAAGGAAGGAAGGAAGGAAGGAGATAACTCTTGAAAAAAGGCTAGGGACTCAGCCATAGAGTATGGGACTCACATGTACAAGGCCCTGGATGTGATTCCCTAACACTGGAAAAGAAAAGAGAGGATGGGTGTGTTGGGGGGGGTGGAGGGAGAGAGAGAGAGAGAGAGAGAGAGAGAGAGAGAGAGAGAGAGAGAGAGAGAGAGAGAGAGAGAGAGAGAGAGAAACTAACCAGCTAGATAAGAAAAACCTGGCTATAATCACTCAAAGACAAGATTGCTTTCCCAACTTTGACTTTCAGTTCAAACATGAAGCTGTTAATGAAACTGTCATGAGTTGAGTGTAACTGCCTTTACATTCAACTAAGCCTCACAACTCCTGCACCCCGTCAGTCATATAAGTCACAACACATCTGAGGGTACTCTGGCTTTAGATCCCCTCCCAAAAAATCATTCTTCACTCAGGAGGCAGAAGCAGACAGATTTATTAAACCTCAAGCCCAGCCTGTTCTATATAGCAAGTTCCGGGTTAGTCAAGGTTACACAGTAAGACCCTGTCTGAAATAAGTAGGTATATAAACAAGCAAACAAATAATTTTAAGGGTAGTTTTTCAGTGGGATATACCTTCAGCCATACAACTGGAAGGACCAGACAAGGGCAAAATGGCAGTCTACAAAATGGTTATTTTGCAACTCAGCACTCTGGATTCACCACCAAGAACCACATTAATCTACGCTTTGTGGAATGGATCTTAGGCAAAAATTAGACTAACACCCACTGTTCAAAAGAGCGGTTTATCTGGCACAGTAGCATATGCCCATACTCCCAGGATTTGGGAAACCAAAGCAGGAGGATCAGGAGTTTAGGCCAGCCTCAGCTACCCAGTGAGTTCAAGGCCAGCCTGGGCTACAAGACACCGTTGGCTATCCAGCCGATAGCTGTGAGCTGTCTTCACTGTCAGCAGGAGGGCAGGGTGTGTGAGGGGCGAGATCTAAGCAGATCTGCTTAAGGAGAGGTGTTGAGCAGTGGTAAGCCTTTCCCAAGGGCGGATGTTGCTATGCCTCTGACATTCACTCACTGTTCCCTTTCAAAGAAGCTGGAAAAGGTATCCCTATTTCACAGATAAGGAAGCTGGCATATGGAGGCAGCAAAGTCGGGAACTGAAGTGTTCATGAACTGAGGTCAGGTCTGAATGACTCGGGAGCCCTGGCATCCAGTGTGGGTTCGGCATGAAGACAGCGAGCTCGTGCCAGGGATGCCATGGAGAACCACCAAACTAACTCTGCAGGCCTCTGCACAGAGATCTGCCAGTTTCTGTCAGCTCCAGTGGGGACCCTAGATCCAGGCTGGGGATGTCCATGCCAGGCTGTCTTACAAAGCTCCTGTGGTAGACTCCTAGAACACAGCACCATTCCTACTTCAAAACACTACTAAAAAGGAAACAAAAGCCCTTCAACTGTGGGCGCCACAGGGTAATCTTACCTTGGCATCTCCACCTGGGTTAGCATTTATGATGGATCAGTTTTCTGGTGGCCGAGTGGCCTCTTGGTCCCTCCCGTGGCTTTGAGGGCAGTCAGTCATGCTAGAGAACTGGTCCCTTCTGACTGACTGACTGTGCCACAACAAGCCTGTGTTTCTCCAGGAACATGAACACACATCCCCCAACCACCTCCACCCCCGCCGCAGCATGGCTGCTCCCTTCTCTACAAAACACTGCTTTGGGCTTTGCAGACAAGACAGTGTCAGGGCTCTGATGTACAGGCCGGTCTCTGCAGGTGGGAAGACCCAGTGAGCAGAGTTCTGTCACCTGGCCAGGCTCTTGAGCTTATCTCACTAAGAATAAGGAAGCCAGCCAGGCGTTGATGGTGCACACCTTTAATCCCAGTACTCGGGAGGCAGAGGCAGCCTGGTCTACAGAGCGAGTTCCAGGACAGCCTCCAAGACAATACAGAGAAACCCTATCTCAAAAAAACAAAATAAACAAACAAACAAACAAACAAAAACCAAAGAAAAAAGTAAGGAAGCCTAAATACAACTGGTGCAGTTAGGAGTCCTTGACTAAGAACAGTTGAGAGCACTACAAATTCAAGTGACCCCGGCCTTTTAGTAAGCATGAAGGGTGCTTTCTGCTCCAGTAGAGATTTGGGTGTGGGTCATGGCCCCGCCCCCTTAACTCTAAGTCATTCTTAGGGGGAAAATCTTTCTAGAAGACTCTTTCAGAATGGAGTGGTGGTGGTGGCATATACCTGCATGCCTTTAATCCCAGCACTCAGAGGCAGACGGATCTCTGTGAGTTTGAGGCCAGCCTGGTCTACAGAGTGAGTTCCAGGACAGCCAGGGTGACTGTTACACACAGAAACCCTGTGGAGGTAGTGGGGGGGGGGGGCACTTTGAAATTAGCCAGGTACAGTGACTCACATCTGTAATCTGAGCACTTGGGAGGCAGAGGCAGGAGGATTGCTACTGGATCTACACAAATTGAGTTCCAGGTCAGCCAGGGCTACAACAGGGTTTCGAGTGTACGAGAGCATGTGTGCACACTCGTGTTCACAAGTTTGAGTGTCATAAACGCACGAGCATGTGCACGCGCGCACGCACACACACACACACACACACAAACAGAACGCAAAAAGCATGTAAATAACAAAATCCAGATACCTTGGAGGAAGCAGAGAGGCAAAAACCACACACAGCTCTTACCAGAGGCCCTCGCTCTGTGGCCTCAGGCCCACCCCCAGCTGTATGGGAGTCCCTGCGGTCCTCCCAGGGTGCTCGGAAGAGTAGGGCAGAGGCGAGGCTCCAGTGTGGTCGCT